ACAGAGTCTCACTCTGTTGCCCAGGCTGGAGTGCAGTGGCGCAATCTCCACTCACTGCAAGCTCTGCCTCCCGGGTTCACGCCATTCTCCTACCTTAGCCTCTGGTGTAGCTGGGGACTAGAGCCCCCCGCCACAACGCCTGGCTAGATTTTTCGTATTTTTAGTACAGACGGGGGTTTCACCGTGTTAGCCAGGATGGTCTTGATCTCCTGACCTCGTGATCCGCCCGCCTCGGCCTCCCAAAGTTCTGGGATTACAGGCGTGAGCCACCATGCTCAGCCCCAAAAGTATGCTGTTGTAACGTCCTTGCATAATATGTAAAGTGGTATAAATGTCACTTGAAGATAAAACTTGAAATTAAAGACAAATTTTAAGTCCTAAAGCTACCACTAAAACAACAACAAAAAATTATTGCTAATAAGCCAACAAAGGAGATAAAATGAAATAATAAAAACTATTCAAATAACTCAAATGAAATCAGAAATGGAGAAAAAGAAAACATAAAACTAATGGGCCAAACAGGATACATATTTCAAGATGATACATTTAAGCAATTATCACATTAAATGTGAATGGCCTAAATCACCAAATAAAGGCAGAAATTATCATATCAGATAAAAAAGTAAGAACTACATGCTGCCTACTTCATATGTAAAGACAAACAGGGTAAAAGTTAAAAAATATAAATAGACAAAAGAAAGCTAGAACAACTATGATATTAAGACAAACCAGATTTCAGAGCAAAGAATCTTATTATGGATAAAGTAGATCATTTCATAACGATACAGGGGGATAATTCATCAAGAGAACATAATAATCCCAGCTGTCTATACAACTAATAAAAGAGCTGCAAATGACAAAGCAAAAAGTTCTGCAAGAAGGAGGGGGCTAACTTGTAATTACAGCCTGAGATTTCAATACCCCCTTCTTATTAATTGAAAGAGTAAGAAGACAATAAATCAGTAAAATACAGCAGACCTGAACACCCACCAAGCCAACCTGGCCTGGCCTAACTAACATTTATAGAACATTCCAACCCCCAAAGAGCAGAATGCATATCCTTTTTAAGTACATATGGAACATTTACCAAGATAGAACATATTCTGGGTCACAGAACAAGTCTCAATGAATTCAAAAGGATTTGAGACATACAAAGTATGTTCTCTGAGCAAAATGGAATTAGAAATCAGTAACAGAAATATAGCGGAAAACTCCCCAAATATTTGGAAACTAAACAAACATATCTATGACTCAAAGAAAAAATCAAAAGGGAAATTAGAAACATTAAAGTAGAAATTGGGGTAAAATTGATAGCTCTAAACACCAGAACGAGAAAAGAAAGGTCTCAACTGAATGGCCTCAGCTCCTATCTAGGAGAAAGTTTAGAATAAAGATAACAGAAATCAAATAGAAAACAGAGAAATTGTGAAAACCTGGTTAAGCCTAAAGCTGGTATTTTGAGATGATTCTTCCCATATTCTCCACAAAACCTGCTCTGCTACGGAGTTCTCTATCAGTTATTAAAACGATGTCTTCCTCTTTCATATTGCTTAGGCCTAAATTCTGGTTCATCCTTGACTCTTTCTCTTACTCTACATCCAATCTAATCAGAAAATTTTATTGGCTCCATCTTCAAAATACACACTGAATCATTTCTACCTCCAGATATATCACCCTGGTCCAGACCTCCTTTATTGTTCACCAGAAGTACTGCAGTAGCCTCCTAACTGGTCTCTCTTTTCATACGCCTGCCCACTTCACCCTTAGTTTTCTTTGAACAAGAGTAGCCAGAGGATCTTTTTACACATATGTCATTTATCACTCCTTTGATAAAAAAAAACAAACCTCCAAAGACTACCCATTTCACTCAGAATAAGTCAAAATCCGTATAATATCCTATGACAACTGATATATTCTGACCCCTAATATACGCAAGTTCTTTGCTGGCTCCGACCACGCTGGCTTTTCAACGCTACCCTCCAATACGTCAAACGTGTCTCTGCTTCAAGCCCTGTGCACTATACGCTCATCTGTTCGCAGGACAGTTTCTCCGCATGTCCACATGGCTAACTTCTTTACTTTCTCCGCATCGTTGCCCCAGTGCTGGCTTCTCACTGAGGTCTTCATGAATATTCTTTTCAAAACTCTAACTTCCCACTTAGCAACACTAGCTCTCTGCCTCCCCCTTTCACACGCTTTTCCACAGAACTTACCATCCTCTAATACCCTCACTCCTAGTGTGTGTTGTCAGTCCCTTCAATCCCATTAAAGTGTAGGCTACAGGAGGACAGTGACTAAGATCTATGTTATTCACAATTATATTCCCCCAAACCACTGGGACTATGCCTGGAACATAAGAGACATTTAATAAATAATTAGAAAATGAATAAACTTAGGTTTCCTTATCAGCCTCATTTTTGGCTACCTGAAGATGACCACTTTCTGGTTTTTCTTGATTACTGCAGCATTTTAGTGCTCCTCATGAGTTTACTGTCATTTTAAAAGCTTGTATATTTCACTGAGTATGTGTTTCTCCAAATCATTTATTTCTCCAGTTAGAAAAGAGACTTATGTTGCCTAATTCTAGTCTCAATCCATGTTAAATTGCTCCTTCTAGTGCTGTAGCATTTTATTTTATTTTATTTATTTGAGACAGAGTTTCGCTCTGTCAACCAGGCTGGAATGCAGTGGCACAATCTCGTCTCACTGCAACCTCCGCCTCCAAGTTGAAGCAATTCTCCCTGCCTCAGCCTCCCGAGTGGCTGGGATTACAGGTGCCCGCCACCACGCCCAGCTGATTTTTGTATTTTTCGGTAGCGATGGGATTTCGCTGTGTTAGCCAGGCTGGTCTTGAACCCCTAACCTCAGGTGATCCACCTGCTTAGGCCTCACAAAGTGCTGGGATTACAGGTGTGAGCTACCGTGCCCGGCCTGCTGTAGCGTTTTAATTAAAATCGTTTTTCACTCCAAAGTATAGCAGTTTATAGATTGCCTATTAAGATTAATTTTAATTAGAATAAAGTACAAAAATGTCTTCTAACTAGTATAGCTAAATACAGACACAAGTAAATAAATAAAATCTGCTTTTAAAATTACATATATAATATGATTTCTGCCACTATAACAGATCCTATTTTAAAATAATAAAATTATATGAGCCTCCTCTGGGCATCCAGACAGTAGTTATGGCTCAACATTAAGTGTACAACCCTAAGAAAGTCTTTGGGACAAAACATTTGTCCCAACAATTTTAGACAGACATATTATGACCTGGTATGTAAGAGAAAAATGTCAGTTTGCTGTTAAGAAAATGGTATACTATCTATAAAAGCATGAGGTTTCTTCTTGATATAAAATTCAAAGTTAACTTTATAGAGTTTTACTAAAACTTGAATTTCCTAGTATTTTCTCATGATTCGAAACAGTTGATGCCAAATGGATTAAAGGAGGTATCTAAATTCAAAATACACTTCTATTTGTTCTTGATGAAACTTAGGCTGGTAGAAAATGACAACCATTCATTAAGGCTTTAATGCTAATTCTTAATTATTTCACTGACGCATATTTTTTTAAAGACTTAAAATATACACAAGTATTACTATTTAATGGTTTGGCTTTTTGTATATTCCTTTGGCTCTATAAGTGTGAACATTATAAGGTATGCTACAAAACTTTCTTAGATTTAAACTTTAAAAAGTTGTAATATTATTTTTTGTAATTTTTTTGTTTTTTTTTTTTTTTTGAGATGGAGTCTCGCTTTGTTGCCCAGGCTAGACTGCAGTAGCGCGACCTTGGCAAACTACAACCTCTGCCTCCTGGGTTCAAGCGATTCTCCTGCCTCAGCCTCTGGAGTAGCTGGGATTACAGGTGCGTGCCACCATGAACGGCTATTTTTAAATTTTTTTTGGTATTTTTAGTAGAGACAGGGTTTCACCATGTTGATCAGGCTGGTCTCAAACTCCTGACCTCATGATCCACCCGCCTCGGCCTCCTGAAGTGCTGGGATTACAAGTGTGAGCCACAGGACCTAGCCTATTTTTCATAAATTTCAAGGAACAATTTCATATAGTGTTAATACATTTACTTTGGACATCAACTTTATTTAGCTGAGACTACACTTTTTCTGCTACAGTGACAAAAGTCCATCCAAATTGCTATGCTTAATACATTCTTTATTACCAAAGTCCCGATAAAAGTAGTAATTCAAAAAAACTAAAACTCAAAAAAAAAAAATTCAGCATAATATGGAATAGCTGTATTTTAATTAAATGTACGTAAGTCCTTTTTACAAAGCTTCTTGCCTACTATGAATGGAAATGTCTGCCTTCTTCTGCATTCATGCTCCTTCCCTTCACTAGAGATTCTTCACGCTACCCCATGCAGTTTAATACAGTCATGTTCTTGTTCAATTATTAGATTCCTAATTTTAAACATAAGAATTTTAAGTACACACTAAATGCATATTGTGGATTAATCAGAGAGTGTAGGTCTTAGAAGACACAGGATATTGAAAAGTTTGTATTTAATAGGCAATACAGCTGTGATGCATAAAACAGTAACGGGAGAGATGGAAGGAAAAGTAGGTTTAAATTCTTACATTCATCCCAGGAGGCTGATTCATGCATCATGTTCTACCTGAAAGCAATCCCTAGGCCGGACTAAAATTAAACATTCCCCTGTCCTCTCCCCAGTTACATTCTTTGATGCTCAAATTATATATGCAATAGCACTTCAGTGAGACTGCTGCTGAAACTATATAAATAGAGAGAGAGGGAAAAAAAAAAAAAAAACAAACGCTGAGTCCACCAACTTTTCCAGGATTATTTTTAGGAACAGGCATAATAACTAAAAATACATATGTATTTTAGTATAGGAAGGCACCCAAAAAATAGAAATTCTGGCATATCTATATTGTGAATTGTGTTTCAAAAATGTTAATTTACACCACAGTAAACATATTTGAATAAACTTAATAAGTACATAAAACCATTTAAGGATATCATATCCAAATCTCAGCTTATCTTCAAGTTTCAAGGTGATATAAGTCTGTTCCGGAATCCTTACATCATTCACAAAAGTCTACAAGGAAACAAAAAAAGATGTTAGGTTACATATGAGGTATTAATTCTTACATTTTAGATAAGCAAATTCTCAAATCTGAGAGTTAAAAGTACGTATCATATGGTGGCTAATACAGCCTGAGTATCATAAGATGTGCCATGCAGCCTGTAGGATGAGAAATGATTTTATACTAAGCCTTTTATCTCTATTACTGGTAACACACAAAGAACCCAGTGCTGCCAAGATGAATTTAGGCACTTAGAATAGTTCCTAAAAATGGTGCCAAGAAAAGCTCCTAATCTAAAGCTGGCAAACCGTAAAGGGTAAAATATTTAACTGTTAATATACCATCAGGGTTTGCTCGACCCAATTTTAGATTTTTGAGAAATTCTGACCATGTGTAAGCACTGACATTTCACTACTTTTAGTTTTGGAATTATTATAAAGAAGAAGAAGAAAATTTACTTTAAGAAAATAGAACAAAACTGAATTCAGTTTGCAATTGTCATATGGGTCCTTTGGATCCTTTTAGGAATCTGAGATACATTATAAGGTTTCAGTGATCTTATTTTTCCGATATGTTGAAATTCTGCTATTTTATCATCCTAGTAACTATTTAATCTTTACTCATCAATTATTCCTAACAACGCTAAAAGTGACCCAAATAATAAGACAAAATAACAGAAGCAATAACCAACAAAAAATGTTGTAAGCCACATTTACTATTATATTTTCTTTCTTCTCTCTCTCTCTCTCTCTTTCTCTCTCTCTCTCTCTTTCTTTCAGGGTCGCAGTGGTGCGATCATGGTGCACTGCAGTCTTGATTTCCCAGACTCAGGTGATTTTCCTACTTCAGCCTCCTGAGTAGCTGGGACTACAGGTGCATGCCACCATGCCCAGCTAATTTTTGTGTATTTTTTTTGTAGAGACAAGGTCTCCCTATGTTGTTCAGGCTGATCTCAAACTCCTGGGCTCAAATAATATGCCCATTTTGGCCTCCCAAAATGCTGGGATTATAGGTGTGAGCCACCATGCCTGGCCAAATTATATTTTCTAGTGGGCACATAAAAAAGGAAACAAGATAGAGGTGAGATTAGTTTTAATAATATATTATACATTTCACCTAATATATCCAAAACAGTACCATTTCAGCAAATTATCAATATAAAAACTAACAAGATAGTTCACATTCTTTTTTTTCCTTTTTTTGGTACTACATCTTTAAAATTTAGACTACTCCACATTTCAAGGGCTCAACAGGCACCCATGGTTAGTGGCTACTGTAGTGAAAAGCACAGACCTAGAAGTATGATGCAATAGTGAAATAAATCACTATTTCATCATTCTTTAGTTATCTTACTGCAGTGGCCAAAATAGTCATCATCTTTCCAAGAAGATATAAAAGACATCTGGAGATACAATCTTAATACATTTTGGGGTTTCTTTTTTCACCTATTAAAGAGCACAGTTGAAAATTCAGAATTTCTGATTTAACATTCATAAAGGCAAAGAGAAGAAAACAGACAGGAAGATATTTCATAATTATAAGATAAACACAAGAGAGTGGGATTCTAGACTACGATAATGATGATAAAGCTGACAGTAGAAGCAAAATTAGTAGACTCTGTGTCTTCAGATGAAGACAGTCACAGACACATTTTCTCTAATGCAAGAATCAATGAGAAAGAATGTTTCCACGGAAAAAAAAGAAATTTTCATCCAGTTAGTCATTCAGTAAGAATCATGCAGTATTTTTCAAAAAGAATACGAATGATTTTGGGTTTTGTGGGGATTTTGGCGGTTTCGTTTTTGGGGTTCTTTCTGAGACAGGGTCTCGCTCTGTCACCCAAGACGGAGTGCAGTGGCACGGACCATATCTCATTCTGAAGCCTCGACCTCCCAGGCTCAGGTGATTCTCCCACCTCAGCCTCCTCGGTAGCTGGGACTAGAGGCTGGTGCCACCATACCCTGCTAATATTTAAATTTTTTGTAGATGGGGTCTCACTATGTCGTCCAGGCTGGTCTTGAATTCCCGGGCTCAAGCAATCCTCCCGCAGTGGCCTCCCAAAGTGCTGGGATTACAGGCATAAGCCACCGTGGCCAGCCTCATTTTAAAAGAAGTGTCATATTTTACAAGCAATACTGACAGCCTTCTTTCTTTTTTTCACATCTGTGTTCCAATACTTATTTGACATAGTATGTAAGTGGACATATTCTCAACACAAGTATCTATACAAAGGTGACTAGAAGGAAAGAGATGATGTAGACATAAAATTACTGGGTTGAGCTTCTAATTATTGTTTATAAATCTAAAAATAACAAATGTTTTGCAGTTATGGAGGAAAAAAGATGGCTATCCTATTAACAAAATTATAAGCTGTTAAGGTTTTTTTTTTTGAGATGGAGTCTCGCTCTTGTCGCCCAGGCTGGAGTGCAATGCGGATCTCAGCTCACTACAACCTCTGCCTCCCAGGTTTCAGCCACTCTCCTGCCTCAGCCTCCCAAGTAGCTGGGATTACAGGCGCCCGCCACCAAGCCCGGCTAATTTTTGTATTTTTAGTAGAGATGGGGTTTCACCAGGTTGGCCAGACTGGTCTCAAACTCCTGACCTCAGGTGATTGACCTACCTCGGCCTCCCAAAGTGCTGGGACTACAGGCATGAGCCACTGCACCCAGCCAAAGTTTTCAAAACACTGTGTTTTGACCATGCAAGAACAAGAAGAACCAGAAATAATACACTAGAATCAACTGAAGACACACAGTACTTGAGATCTGGAATCAGCATTTATGAGACGGATATATGTTCCAGGTGAATACATGTCAAATGATGAGCAGTTAGTCGCATTCAAACAACACTGCCCATTTTGGGTAGTATATACCTTTAAACACCAGGGAAACATGGAAGAAAATTTGAGTATGTCATGTCTAATTTTTTATTAAAATTTCAAGTTGTTTTAATCACCCTTTTAATCTTAATTTTGTAAATTATTTGTACAATATGTTTTTATTCTTTTGTAAATTATTTACACAATATGTTTTTATTCTTTTGTAAATTATTTATACAATGTTTTTATTCTTTTGTAAATTATTTGTACATATGTTTTTAAAAAAGGGTCCACTGGATACAGATGCTAAATGGTGATGACGATCTTTACTGGCTTACTTAAGAGTTAAGGCCCTAGAATTTCCTCTAGATTTATAGAACACAGAACAAAAGTATGCTTCACTGCCTGTGCAGACATCAAATAAACACCCAACAAGTTTTTCTTTGATAAACTGAAATTTTAAAAATTACTTTATTCTTTCCTTTTTAATTCCAATTTTCCTTTTTAATTACTTTATTCTTTCCTTTTTAATTTCATTTTTATCATCTTCTATATTACTAGATTTGAGATGGCCATAATAGCTTATTTGAGAAAACTGCCCTTCCATGGTGAGGAAGTTACAGTAAAATACATAAATGGATTAGGTTATTAAATCCTCAAATTCCTATGCATAAATAGCTCTTTGTAATATGCCATAAAATAACAGTTTTAAGTCTACAAAAGAAATTAGAAAAAGTTACAATCTTAGTTTCAAGCATATATATGGAGATAGTGGAATATCATGAAGACTCTAGATTATATCTTAGAATGAGTTATGAGTTGTCCTAAATCACAAGCTTCCAAAATGTTTTACAGAAAGGTTGAAACTGGAATACAAAGAAAATTCAAAGGCTTCTGAGACATAAACTCTAACTTCAGGTTCATTTCCAAAATGAAGATTTCAGAGTGTTTTCAAACTTATGTCTTGAGTTTACCAACGTATTCGGAGGATACAGTCATGCATTGCTTAACAACAGGGAAACATTCTGAGAAACGCATCACAAAGTGATTTACTTCACTGTACGAACATTACAGAGTTTACGGTACTTCCACTAACCTAGATAATATAGCCTACTACACACTCAGGCTGTGTTGTATATCCCATTGCGCCTAGGGTACAAACCTATACAATACGCATGTTACTATACTGAATATTGTACACAATTGTAACACAGACAGGAATTTTTCTGCTCCATTATAATCTTATGGGACCACTGCTGTGTATGTGGTCTCCCATTATGGGATGCATGATTGTAATTACAAAACAGGAGAAATGAGGAAAATGATGAAAAAGGATGAAAGAAAATGTTAATTTACTAATGTCTGCTAGGCAAAAGATAAACAACTAGATACAGTATTGAAGAGGAGTGCTACAGTTCTGAAGTTCTGAGCCAATTTTATTTGAAACTATCTCTAATAACCTAAAACACCACACTCATTCAAAAGGCCTACGATGACCTAGAAGATCCATTTAAGTTTAAGACTGCATAACTCTCTTAAATATTAAACACCTGTTGCATGTTGAACATGTGTACTCGGCACTTTCAGAGATGAAGAAACATATAATTTTAACATGCTGCCATTTATGACAGAACTATTCCCTAAAGTCTAAAAAGGCTTAGGAAATATGAGCCAGACACAGTTTCAGTTCACAAAAATGCAAGTGAAAACATCTGTGAGGAAACAGTCTCCTGAAGGTCTAAAATCACCATTGGAAGAGAGAAAATTTCAAAAAGCAAGAGGAAAAATCATTTAACTACAACAAATTTTAATAGCTTAGATACGGAAAAAAAATGAGTTTTGTTTCTTTGTCAGTGCCATTTGAACACACCTCTACCTGGTGGTGAGGAAAATGAGGCAAAGAGAATGAAGTAATCATCAAGAGCTTGGAGTACGGAAGTGGCAATGTTGAGATTCGAACTCAGCTCTCTGAACTACAAATCCTATGAGCATTCCACACCAAGAAAGATTAGGTACCCAAGCTAAACCAGCTCCCAAAATTCCTCCATTCAAACCACTAACCCCACAGAAGCAAACCAAACTTAAATAAATACCTATTTAATTTACATACAACTAAATGACATAATTGATAGTATAAAATCATATAGCCAGCACACATTACATTGATGATCTGGGAAAGTGAACAGAGTACAACCACCTCAATCTCTCTGCCACCTGCAAAAGCCTCCTTTCCTTCCCTAACCTTTCCTTTCAACCTTTAGTGAAGACCATTCTCTACTCTATACCACACAGGTCTGATGCTGGCAGGAACTCTAGTGTGCAAAGGGGACACTGTGGCTGGAACACAGACTGCTGATGGGGGCAGTACAGCAACAAATGGCAGGCTTGGAATGGCACAGGAAGGGTGTGGCAGAGGCCATGGTGGCTACCAGAGAACTGAAGGCAAACAGGGGTTCCCAAAGAAAGACAACCTTCAATGGGCTTGCAGGAAAATGGCCCATGAAAATATCAGCAACGGAACCGACTGCAGCTTTCTCAGGCAGAACAATCTCATTTCTGGCGGCAATTCCATAAATTGTAGATCTAGGTCCCTTGGGAGTGTATTCTGGGATAGGGTGAAAGGGGACAGCAGTGGAAATGATCATTTTTATGTTGAATTTAGTTGGTAAGTGATTTTTCTAAACAGTAACAGTGAATTCTTTGAAAAGTGTATAGGCTACAGGGTGCTAACCTTGTCTTTGCTGCTTTTCTTACCATGATAAAAATAACTTACATTTACTGAATGCTTACTATGTACTGTTGTGTTTAAAATTATTAGCTTATTTATATCTTCACAACATACACAACACACTCACACAACCTGTGAGTACCATTTTATTATTTCTATTTTTTAAAAATTGAGGAATAGGGAACTTAGGTAACTTGTCCAAGGTGACGTCAAAGCTGGGTCCATAACCACTACACTGTGTCCCCTACCTCCAAAATTTATACTTTTAACCTGATACTTAAAGTTCTAGAATAACATGGATAAGAATAGTAAATAGTCTGTGAATAATAGTCTACAAGTTCTCTGATGACTGAAATGCATGACAGTTGGTACTTCCTAGACTTTTGACATGTTTTGGCGGCTAAAGGCCTTTATGGCATGTTTCTTAGGCTGTCATTTGGGTAACAGTATATTTGTAATTTACGTAATGCTTTAAAGTTCTACACTAAGCACACACTCAAATGTACTGTTACATTTAATCCTTATAACAACACTACAGAACAGGAATTATTTCATCCCTTAATAGCTGAAGCAAGATTCTGCACTGCCTCTTTGCTTTCATAAACTTCAACTCATAACACATTCACACACTTTGGAAGGGAGTATATATGAGGAAACTGAATTTCAGAGAGATTAAGTGATTTGTCCCAGGTTACACTGCTGATAAATAACATATCTGAGTTTCAAATCCTGGTACTGATTTCTAACTCAAAATGCAGATGTTGCTCTCCATGAGTTAGTATCTTTCACAATATTATTGAGTATAATCAAATTATAAGAAAGATATCATTCATATTTCACCTGATTATTTTTGGAACCAATGCCAAGTAATTTCCATATTTGATCATAGTCTTTTAAAAGACTAAAATGCTGATGTAATTCCCACTTACTATTTTTCAAAACAATAATGTAAAGACATACAGACTACCACTGTTCATCTGTTGTCAAGATGAAACTTTCTAGACTTAAAGACAATATAACATTGTTAAAATAATCCACACATAGAAGTTAAAATTTTTCACTACAAATTCTTCAAGTAGAAAATTAATTCAATTCCACTCAAAGAAGATGTACTGGGTCCGTGCACTGTGCAGAACTCTCTGCCAGGCACTGTGTTCACAGAAGCAGAAGGCACAGGAACTTATTCAGGAGCTCATAATTCAGCACAGCACAGAGGTATAAAAGTAGATTTAATACCAGGCTAATCAAGCACACAAAGGCTTATGGGTGTGAAGAAGGAAGACAGAAATTCTAGCAAAGAGTTGAGAATCAAAATTGCTAACATTCATGCCTAATGTTACAACAGTTTCTATCTACTTTGCCCATCTCTGTTAATTTTAACCCTTTCAACATGTCAACATCAGCAGGTTAAAATTCCTAAGTAAACGGGCCTCTGTTTCATCTCTTCAAAAAGAAGTAGAATTTGAGCTTTACTTTAAAAAATGTGTACAACTTTTATGAACGGCAAGGGAGATGGGAGAAATAGTAGACTGAAGAAAATCTAATAAGTTATTTGAAGAAAGACATAGTACAGCAGGAAGACTGCTGTTTTGGAAGAAGAGCAAGGGAAAATGTAATGATGGAGCATCAATCTGAAAAGGAGAATAATGCCAAATGTGAGAGTTTTCAAGGCAGACATGAAGAACGTACACTTAACTCTATGTGCTTTGAGAAAAAAAAAAGGCTTGAATAAAACAAAGAGAAAAAAAAAGTCTTGAATAAAACCAACAGAAAAACATGCCTACAAAAAATTTGTATTTATCTCAAAGAATAAATATAAAAGTCCTTCAGTAGCAGGTCAATTCAGAATTGGTTAAAAAAAATGTATTACCATATTTGCCACATTTCTGCATATTCTTGTATACAATGTTTGATGCACATTTGAAAAGCATGAGTAGCCTGAAGCAGTTGGGATACACTTATTTCTGTTAAATTCACTTCAAGAATTTCAATAGCACAGATATGAACAACACAGTATTTGCTTGTGTTTGCAGAACCCTAAGAAAATGAAGAAACTGAAATAAGAGAAATAATTCAATACTTTAGCATTCTTTTTAGTTTGTGGCTACTTATATTATGCCAAATTTAGAAAGACCAAATGAAGAAATAAGAAAAAATTCACTTCAGTAACACAAAAATATATTCAAAGTATGAATTCCAAGAATAATAAACACTGGTGTTTAGATAATGTACTGTATTTGTGAAGGCAAATGGTTGTGGTGTTTCACCTTTTTTACTCTAGCAGAGGAAGCTGTCTACTCTCCGGCACCTTTCCATCTTTCTTTTCTTTTTTGTTTTTTTTTTTTTTTGAGACGCAGTCTCACTCTGTCACCCAGGCTGGAGTGCAGTGGTGCCATCTTGGCTCACTGCAACCTCTGCCTCCTGGGTTCAAGTGACTCCCCTGTCTCAGCCTCCTGAGAAGCTGGAACTACAGGCATGCACTACTACGCCCAGCTAACTTTCGTAGTTTTAGTAGAAACGGGTTTCACCATGTTGGCCAGGATGGTCTTGAACTCCTGACCTCAGGTGATCTCCCCACCTTGGCCTCCCAAAGTGCTGGGATTATAGGTGTGAGCCACCGCGCCTGGCTCCATCTTTATTTTCTAAAGTTAACCACTACTTCTCTGTCCTTAAGAGTACTTTTTTGCATTCTTACTGCCATGACTTTGTACCGTTTTCCCTCATATAAATTACAGCCATATAGTGAAGTCCAGCTTAGGTTCCAGCTTCTTAAAGAAGTTTTCTTTAGCCATCACAGACAATGACAACCACCTTCTGGACTCATCTGCTTATACAGTTTCTTTGGAATATAGGCTAGTTTCATATTCTACTGGATGGTCCCCAAAGTGCTATGTACCTGATAAGCATTTAAAAATAAAATACAAATTAAAGATAAAGAAAATGTAGCTAGGAAATGTAATCTGATTTTTCTTCTTACAATATTAAACAAATGTTCAAAGACGACAAAAAATAAACCCTTAACTTACCCCATTTAGACTGCCCAAATCTTTCACTAAATGTTCATCCGTAGAGGCATCATAGTTGATGACAGCATGTTGCTTATCCACACTACGAGACTGAAAGAAATTTTTTAAGTTAATAAATACAAGAAAATACTAGAATAAATATCAATCACATTTTGGCTAGATCCTAGCATTAACAGAACAGTAAATATACAGAAATATCAAAGTTAATGTGGATTAAATGATATTAAAATAGTGCCACTATACAACAAAAATTTGTAGCATCACTCCCCAAAGAGGAAAGCATTGAATTTGAAAGATATTCTTTTCTACTAAATTCACATGTTCTACTATTGAGAATTTACATCAGCTGACTTTGTTGAATGTATTAATTTTTTAAAATTTAAAACAGCTATAGAGAAATGTGAATTATAATTTTACCATGTTTTATATATCTTATTGTAAAAAAATTTACCTTGTAGGATTTTCTTCTTTCAAAACTAAAAATGAGCATAAACTATATAAAGAGTCCAAAGACTTAGAGGAAAAGGGACACACTATGATACGTTTCAGAGCAGAATTATCTTCACTTAAAATATGGGTTCTAAAGCTGGAATTCACAGGACAGCTCTAAGAGGGAAAGGGACTGGAAGTCAAAAAAAAGTATTTTAATGGCAAACTGTGGTTTTTGAAAATTGCTTTTAAGTTTCTTTTAAAGTTTTCTCTGCCTTTCTCTAAGCTCTGGTGCAGATGGAAGCACCCGAAAGAAGAACTATAAGCCTGTGGAAGCTGGTATTGAAAGGAAATATCATTATAGTCACAGAAGAAACAGCCTGTGAGCCAATGAATTGGAACTTGATCACCGTGTATTACGGGGTTACTGTGTGAACCCTGGTATACTAAAAGCAAAGGGAGTATCAAAAACGGGGAACAGACATGACTTCCAGTTTCTGGTTCAACATGCAAAGAATTTGAAGTCATCACTCCCATCTTCCTAATAAGAAAAATGTTGAACAAACTGAAAACCAAAAACTCATCTTAACTTTTATCAGAGACTTGAGGTCACAAGGCAAACGATGACCCTGAAAAGTAGAGAGACAAGCAAATACAGAGAGAATCACAGCTTGCCAGGAGCAGAAGCCACCGTGAGACACAGCAACCAGTAGGCCAACTTAAAGGTGAAGTGATTAATTGCTGAAGACTTGAGGGTGGACCAACTTGAGATTTTAAAAAACTCCTGCATTAAATCTAAAAATTACTTAAAATTCATTTTTGCCTTGTTTTAAATTTTTTTTTCTTCTGGTTAAGCTAATGAAATACTAAATTCAGTTCTTAAGTTGGTAAGAAGCAACATAGCACCACTCAGCAAAATAATTTCACCACATTGTCGATTTATCAAGTTGATCTAGTCTAAGGATAAAACCTCCAAATGTTGTAAGAGAAGTGAGATTTCAAGTACATGTAGGCTCTCAATAAATACTTAATGGATCCTCATAAATAATCTGTCTCTGAGGAAAAGAGTACACAGAAAAAGGGCAGAAATCCTTTGGACAATGGACTGAAATTCAAAGAAAAAAATCAAATTAGAGTTGAGAAAAGGTAAATTCCAAAGTAAAGAGAAACGTTACTATTAGATACAAGAATAAAGGAGTCGAACGGCTGCTCATGGAGCCAGAGAATGGTGGCTTTCAAAGGAGTGTGATAAACACAGATCAGGGATATTGAGAAAAAATGATTTGGGGAGGGAGTAATTTAGGACAGGCTGCTTCGCTACGTCTACAACTTGTTTGAAATCTGGAATATCCTTAATCTACAGTGTACCCTGCCCTCCAACTGCTTATGGTGAACACTGACAGTACATAAACACCTACAGCAAGAGATAGAGCACTCTTACGACAAGAGAACCACAGAGTCCACTGAGTCGAGTGAGACGCCATTACAACTCCGGGGATTAGGGAGTGAGGAGTGGGCCTGTTATGTGGGATCCCAAGAATACATCGTTTGTTTGTTTAATAAAGACAGTAACAACTTTTCAAGAAGAGTAGTCAGGAACTCAAGGCAAAGAAGATCAGTTTAGTATTCACAGAATAAGACAATCCCATTTGTGTAACTATTTTTTAAACTAAGCAGCCAATGAAAAAAAAAATCCTATGTTTTTAGTTATCATGAAATGTATATAAAGTATCAATGTGTTTCAGCACCCACCACAGGAATTAAGCAGAAGACCAAGATTACAGAACATAATATGTAGTGACTGGGTCAAGGAAAACTGAGGGAACGGGAAGAGTATGTAATGGATATCTAACCACTTAAGCATTAATCTGTTTTCATTTCTACATAATCAAATTCACATTTCCTCTAAATTAAGCTGAACCAGAAGGTACATGACAACTTGATGTTCACAACCCATTTGGATATTTCAATGAAAATTTAATAAAAATCCCTCAGAAATATGTAATTTAAATCCTAACAAAGACTGCTAACTTCATCACGTTTCTGATACTAATGGGAAAATCTTAGCTGATCTGAGCGTAAAACTGCAAAGACAGACAATTTTGACCAGGCCTTTTTTCCTGTTAAACTTCTGGCAAGAGTGAAAGACTCTAGTCCCTGTCCTTTTATAGCAGGGGTGTCCAATCTTTTGGGTTCCCTGGGCCACATTGGAAGAAGAAGAATTGTCTTGGGCCACACATAAAATACACTAACAAGAGCTGATGAACTTAAAAAAAAAAAAAATTACAAAAAAAACTCATAATATTTTAAGCAACTTTATGAATTTGGGCCACATTCAAAGTCATCCTGGGCCCAGGCTGGATGAGCTTGTTTTATAGTGTTTTCCCTGAAGACTCTATGCCTCCTCCGTCTGATTCTAACTCCTAGAGACCCTCTTCCTGAGGCTGTGTACTCTTGAGGATCTATTTTACTTGAGGTAACTTACGGTAACTTTTATACTATCTGTATGTATCACAGAACATCACATTGTATACCTTAAATATACACAATAAAATTTGCTTTTAAAAATAGTCAACAATTTTTGCTTATGCTTGAACTCCTGGCAGGCATCATAATGAACATCTCTAAAAGTGCTGAAACTAACTTCCTTTATCACTGAAGTATCACTGATCAAAATTCAGTTTTACTCCATGCTGTGCTGATTTTTGCAATGTCTTATTTTAAAAGTGTATAATGTGAAACTTTCCACTTACTAATAAACTTCCTTATTCTGAGAACTTATTTTTCAAAATAGAATCCTCAAGACTTAGAACTTTTCTTTTAGATGGTTCAAGGGGACAAAAAATTAATTAGAATGATAGCTGGAGCTAAAAGGAGAGAAAGTTCAAATCTAAATAGCACTGTTTTCTAAAGGAGTAGAAAAAGATTATATACCAATCTCAAGTTTTGAATAAACACATATAGAGAAGGCGGACAAAATTACCTGCAACATGAGCTCACAGTCATCTCTTCCAACAAAAATCATTTCTCGCGGCAGCCTGTGGCGAGTGCCTCCACTGCTCACCAAAAACCAGGATGTTAAGCTCATTTTCTGCTTAGCTTCTAAGTCTTTGGCAAAGCTACGTCATCCTGAAGAGAAACATGAAGAAAAATATACATTCAGATATTTTCAGCTTTAGTGGGCTATTCACCAAACACTGGAAGGCCTAAGAATAGAACTGCATTCATTCACATTTATACTAAATGAACTGTCCACAGGTCCCAGGAAATATATACATATATACTAAATTCTCATCAGTGAAGTAAGCCCACAGAATTGACTAAGAGTACAATTAAAAAGGAAGAGATTAAAGTAATAAGTAGGTTATAGTTTTCATACTTCTGAAAGCCTTTTAGCATAGTTTATAAAGGTCTATAATCCTCAAGTAAATGCTCATGTTAGCATCAAGTTAGCATCAGAAAAATAGCAATACTGTACCAATAAATGTCTTAGGTATAAATGGTTTGAGAAAGACACAATGAATTCAGTGAGTATATATGATACCTGATTAAGAACTACGTTGACCAAATAAACTGCTCCTTTGTCTACCAAGTGTAAACTACAGAATGCAATTTCAATTTCTTTTTCCTCACGTGTACTTTATTTTCTTAATACATTTTCCTAGGGCAGCAATTCTGAAACATTCTGTTCTTGGGACTCTTTTAAACTCTTTAAAAAATGAACTCTAAAGAGCATTTGTCTACATGAGCAATACACACACATACATATATATATATTTTACATATTAGAAATGAAACTGGTATTTATTAATTCATTTAAAATAACAATAATCCAATTTCATTTTAAAATTACTAATATTTCTATGACAAAGTAACCATATTTTCCAAAACAAAAATAAGAAAGGTAGCACTATTTTACATTTTTCAAATCTCTTTAATGTCTACCTTAAAAAAATAAAACCTGATATCAGCTTTGAATTTAATCCACTGCCATATACTGCTTAATTTAATGATATATAAAGAAAACTTGGCTTCATACAAACAAACAGGTGGAAAAGGGAGAGGTATTTTAATACACTTTTCAAATAATTGTAATTATTTAGTAATTTCTTTGATACTACATAAAAATTATACAAGCAGTAGTTTCTTGAAGGTTATTTGCAATATGGAATCTGAAACCATATTAATGAACTTTTCTCACAATTTTATATAAAAATCCATCTCATGGCTGGGCGGGTGGCTCATGCCTATAATCCCAGCACTTTGGGAGGCCGAAGTGGGCAGATCACCTGAGGTCAGGAGCTCAAGACCAGCCTGACCAACATGGAGAAATCCCGTCTCTACTAAAAATACAAAATTAGCTGGGCATAGTGGCGTGCGCCTATAATCCCAGCTACTTGGGAGGCTGAGGCAGGGGAATCACTTGAACCCGGGAGGCAGAGGTTGCTGTGAGCTGCAATGGTGCCACTGCACTTCAGTCTGGGTGACAGGGCAAGACTCCGTCTCAAAAAAAAAAAAAAAAGAAAAGATAGACAAATAGATCAATGGACCAAACACATGGATAAAATTGAAACCTGGTTAGTAGTTTCTTCAGTAGCCAAGGCACATGATTCAACTCAGGTTCCTCTAAATGGTGGGAAAGGAGCCTTTGGGTTTCCAACTTGTATAGAATATGACCAAGGTCATAACCAGATGTGATAGCAGGTACATTTCTTTCCAGAATTTCTGGATTAGTCAAATAGACATGGGTTTTAGAGTATACTTTCTAAGTTAAATTACCAGTCCCTCATGCTTTCTAAATGACTGCAAAAATATATGCATTATGTTTCTGCATTTCAGGTACCCCACCTGTAAGAGAAAAAAAAAAAAAAGCCAAGAAGATATCATCTACAGATGCATTGACAGAAATTATCTGAAGTGACTATTTTGGAACTCTGGCATATAGTAAAAGAGGGTGATAAATGTCACGGAATTTCCATCTTTCATGGTAGCAGCTATCACTCATTCCACAGCCACAACCCCAACAGCTCCATGAAGCAGCCTGGAGACAGCCTCCTGCATTCCTAGTGTGGCTTCCTGGAGCCAAGATACACAAAAAGGACCTAGTCTTCCAAATACTGGATTGCATGATCTCATTGCTGCTTTTGATTACTGAGGAACCAACACAACAGCAGGCCACCAGTACTTTAATACCCACGGGCCTAAGAAACTTCCAAGGAATTTATTATATAAAGACAATGTATGTGTGTTTTGTTTTTCTTTCTCCTTTTTGAGGTCAGATATTTAAAGCAATATTTATTAGGTCAATAGCTGACCACAGAGGAAACACAAGAAACTTCAGTGTCCACATATAACAAAAACTACACACCTTGCAAAAACTGTTTACAAAAGTCACAAACAGATAATCACCTCAACCCTGAACAAGTAAGATTCAGCAATCCCTGGAGAGTGCAAGAATTACATTTCCGGATGTACTACAACATAATTTTTAAAAAGTCTGGTTCTCACCAGGCATGGTAGCCGATGTATGTAATCTCACCACTTTGGAAGGTGGAGGAGGGAGGATTCCTTGAGCCCAGGAATTCAAGACCAGCTTGGGTAACATAATAAGACCTCACATCTATGAAAAATTAAAAAAAAAAACAGCTGCGCATGGTGGCATCCAAGAGGTTGAAGCTGCAGTGAGCTATGATCAAGCTCTGCACTCCAGTCTGGACAAAAGAGTGAAACACTGCCTCAAAACAAATGAATAAATAAAAATAAGATAAAAAGTACAGTTCTCAAAAAATAAAAAATAACATAATGAAAATAAAGAAACAACAAAAAAGATTTGATAGAATCTCTCCTGTTAACGCCCATTGTAGTTATTAGTCGAAGGTGTTACATCAACTATCTACTGTCTTAAGTATGTTGAATGAGCTAAAGAAAACCATCAACAAAAAAATTAGCAAAACAGTGTATGAGAAAAATGAGAATATCAGTAGGAAGACAGAAATTATGAAAAGGAACCAAACAAATTCTGGAGCTGAAAAGCAGAATAACTGAAGAAAAACTCATTAGAGGGGCTCAAAAGCAGATATGAGCAGGAGTTAGAAAGGTTCAGTGAACCTGAAGATAAGAACACTCAGGTTGTCTTATCTTCAATATGAGAAGTAGAAAAACAAATGAAGTAAAATGAACAGAGCCTGAGGCACCAGCAGGATATCATCAAACATACTAACATATACATTATAGGTGTCCCAGAAGGAAATATGACAGAAAAGTATTTGAAGTCTTAATGGAAAAATACTTCCAAAATAAATCAATACATACATCCTAGAAGCTCAATAAACTACCAGCAGATAAACTCAAAGAGCTCTACACAAAAAACATTACAATCAAATTGTCAGAAGCTAAAGAAATAGAAAGAATTTTGAAAACAGTGACATAAGTGACTCTTCATGTACAATGGAGCCTCAGCAAGATATACAGCAGATTTCTTCTCAGAAACTATGGAGACTAGAAAGCAGTGGGATTGACAGTGGGAAAGGAGAAGAAAAAAAAGACTGTCAACCAAGAATTTTATACCCAGCAATACTGTCTTTCAAGCATATATATATATATATATATATATGTTTTAAAGCAAGCAGAAATTAAGATATTTCTAGTGAAACAATATTTCTAGTGAAACAATAGCTGACAGTTTTTGGTTTTTTTTTGTCAGCACAGTGCCCTACAAAAAATGTGAAAGACATTCCGGCTGCAATGAAAGGACACTAGACAGTAACTTAAAACTGTGATAAAAATTTTTAAAACCACTGATAAAGGTGTCTATAAAGGTAAATGTAAATCCACTGTTTTCATACTTTTCATATGGTTTGCAACTTCTGTTTTTCCCATATGGTTTAATAAGCAAGTTCATAAAGCAATAATTATAATCTGTTACTGGAAAGGGAATGTATAAAGGTGTAATTTGTGACAATTATAATATTACAGGGGAGGAACGGAGATGTACACAAATGAAATATTTGTATACTCTTGAAACTAAATTGATATATTCAAACTAGGCTTATAAGTTTAAGATATTAATTGGAATTGCCAAGGTAACCACTAAGAAAATACATTAAAAATATACAGTAAAAGAAAGAAAAGGGAAATCAAAATGATACACCACAAAAAGTTAAATATTTAAAAAGACAATAATAAAGGAATAAAAGAAAAAAACACATAACATACAGAAGACAAATAGATCAATGACAGATTTAAAACCATCTTTATGCTGAGTGTGGTGGCTCATGCCTGTAATTCCAGCACTTCATTTAAAGTGATTAATAATATAACTAAAGCAAACCCCCAAATTTTTCCATTTTTCCATATCAATCCTCACTGTCTTTTCTTCTTCTTTTTTTTTTTTTTTTGACTGAGACAAGATCTGGCTCTCTATTGCTCAGGCTGGAGTTCGGTGGAAATATCTCAGCTCACTGCATCCTCCAACTCCCAAGCTCAAGCTCCGGGCTCCCACCTTACCCTCTTGAGTAACAGGGACTACAGGTGTGCACCACCACACCCAGCTAATTTTTGTATTTTTTGTAGAGACGGGGTTTTGCCATGTTGCCCAGGCTGGTCATGAATTCCTGAGTTCAAGCAATCCACCTGCTTCAGCCTCTCAAAGTGCTGAGCTTACAGGTGTGAGCCACCATGCCTGGCCTTCAGTGTCTCTTCTAATACTGTAGTACCTATTCTTGAAAGCAGACTAGCCATAATACAAAATTTTATCAGTCTCTATCTTCTGTGCTTATTAATTTCAGCATTTAGGAAATCTCAAAGAGTATGAGAAGGTACAAAACTAACAGATTTGCTTTTCAATAAGTTTATTCCCATTCCCCCAGGGCACAGTTAGCCATTCTTGTCTCTGTAATCCCACAATATTTTGTTCAAACATTTATTATGCTAGAATTTAAACTATAATTTTTTGCATTAATAATTATATACTGTAACGATATGATTACACCTCAAGTTGATGAGCTCTTTGAAGGCAGCACAACTGTCTTCCTCCATCCCTCCCTTCTTTCAACAGCTATTGAGAAGCCTGCGGAATCCAGGCACTTTTGAGGATCAAGGACACACAAAGATAAAACAAAAAAATCTTG